AGGTGTCAATGATAATGATGGAAATGATAATTGTAAAACAGGAACACTTACTGATTCAAAACATGCCAGGTACAGTTCTGCTTTTTTAAAATACTTGTTAAAACATAAAAAAAACCCTCAAACAACCTGATTGCATAGGAAAACTTCTGATCCCTGATTTTTAAAGCATAGAAAATTATGTAGGTTGCCCAATATTTTGAAGAATTAGGATTCAAATTCAACCAGACATCCTTCCAAGTTGTACAGTATACTTCAGAGAATGTATAAACACATCTATAAATGATTTTTACATATGTGTGTAATCTAATTCTATACTATAATATTCTCAAAAATCAGAAGCCTGCTAAGCTTGGCATGAGTCAAAAGCTCTAACTACTCAGGAGGCTGAGGCAGGAGGATTTCTTGAGCTCAAGAATCCCAGGCCAGCCTGAGCAACATAGCCAAACACAGTTTGCTGTATTTCTAAAAAATATAGAATGCAGCATTATTCTGATGTTTAATTCAAGTGGGATCACAAAAGACTCATATTTAAAAGGAAGCTTCCAGAAATGAAGATGCAGCTTTATGATTTTGACAGCTAATCAGCAATAATTGTGGTACAGGAAATGATGCATTGCTATCATACCACAAGAAAAGCAGTTAGTGGGTGGATATGGTTAGTGGAAGAGACCTCTTCAGAATGTAAGTTCTTCCACCAGCTTAGCTAAAGAACTGCCAACTAAAGGAAAAAGTCACTTGTTTTCATATTTATTACAATTTTTAGTACTTTTGGTCTTGTTATAATGTAGATTTAATATAATTAAACACACACATTTACAACTTACTTCCCGTTCTGTGCTATGTGTTGGGATGTGTATCATTTTAAAGTCACTGGGTCTGGCAGAACCGGAAGTCTGTTGATTTGAGGAAGAACAAAACGAGCCAAGTGTCGTGTTCTCCGGGAGGAAGGTTGAACTGTTTTCACTGCTCTTCCCATCGGCATCCCCTTTGTGTGCTATGCCCAAAGCGAAGCACCAGGGAATCAGTATTTTTAAAATATCACCCACGTGGAAGAACAAGTGAAGGCAGGTAGCAGAGCGAGGTTTCCAGCCGACAGTTTGAAAGGGTAATACTCTGTTGTGTGAAAATAATTGTTTTGTGGTCTTTAACTTGGAGCAATAGCAGGAGGATGAGGGTCGTTCATGACTCCTATGGAGAAAGAAAACACTCGTCGTGATGTGATGTCGAAATCTTAAACGCTGTCTCTGTTTGTTAATGATAACGAACCATGTTTTCTCCTTAGTGCATTTTGAATATACTTTAGATGCACAGGAGCATCTCTTGGTATGTTTATCTGTGCTAACTTGTCATCTGAAGTAGTTCCTCCTCTATCAGTAAATCTCTGGGAAGAAATGACACTCTGCCCGTTAAGCCAATAACTGTCGATTTATAGGCTGGTTCTGGTCATTATTATTTAATTTCTCCATCACATGAAACTTTTCATTCTCATCTCTGGGTCATCAATAAAGCCCAAGTCAACTCTCAGCTTCATGAGACCAAAAAATTAAAGTGAAGAAGTCCCTGTGCTCCATGGATAACTGGGAAGTTTTTTTCTTTTTTAGAAGTTAAATAAATGTTGACTACATTTGTTCCAACCACACTGGGCGAACATAAGCTCTGTCTGCCCCCAAACTAAGAAGTTGCTTTCTCTGTTTTGTATGTTTATTTATACTTTAATATTTATCTCTCGTTCTCACTACACAGTTCTTAGAACAGCAAATAGTCAATTGGTATTTTGGGAAAGTACTCATTGAAAATGCCATGTGGCTGTTTTTGCTGTGTTTCTGTACACACATTGTATGTAAGGATGGGAATTTATGTGGCTGTACTATTTCAAAAGCCACTCATGGTTCTATGGGTATTTCAGTCCACTTGGGTGTCTAAGTGAATTGGTAGGCATTCAGAAGTCACTAATTCTGTAGTTCTTTGGCGGTAGGCCTGTACACATGTTTACAGTAGGGATGGCATGTTATATTTATTAAGATGCAGACAGTTTTTCCCCCCCAGGATTTCTACAGCAAAACCACAATGATACTGTAGAAAGAGACAGCGCTTGTCCTTACCCAGCTTTCGTACTACAGCCTTAGGACACCCTTGGTTTTTTCAGTTCATTAAAAAAAAAAGTATAATTTGTCTTATTTACCAATCTTCTGAAAAACATTAAAGACTTTCTCTGAAATACACAAATCCAAAAGTTAGTTGACAAAACACCTCAAAATCCTTCCAGAGCTCCTTTGGTAAAACAGATTAAACCAGGGCTATATTTGGTCCTGACACTGACATCTTCAAACAGGCAAGGTAACACGAGCATTAGGAGGTTGATATATAATCAAGGATAAGGAAAAAAAAGAACCAGAAAAGTGTCACCAAAGTTAGAAAGCAGATGAAAGCAGTTCAGACAAGAATTGTCATTTTTTCCCCCCTTTCAGCTTGTAGAGACTTTAAAACATCAGAAATGCCAAGGCTCTCAGTCCCCTGCGGTTGGGCTTCTGAGACTGAACGTTTAAGTCTCTCCTAGCCATCATCTTCATCCCCTCTGCCTCTTGTGTTGAAGTGGTTTTTCATGTGTGTGCATTGGGTATTTGTATGTATGTGTGTACATATGTACTCTGTGCCCCCGAGGCTAGATCGCTATCGGCTTCACATTTGATGGAGACAGTAAAACGGAAGAGCAGAGCTCTGCTTTTGGCAACTGTCACAAACAGAGTGGCGTCGTACTTCACTCTGTAATACAGAACTCACAGAATAAAACTGGGGATGCTGCAAAATTAAACACTGACTAATAAAGCTGCACAATAATTAATGCTGATAATTTAAACTCAACATATGTTCCTTGCAGGTCAAGAAATCGTGGAGTAGACTGTATCAACCTAGAAGAGGTTGTGTGAACTACATTTATAAACTTTGTAGCTGGACATCGTGCTCCACTGAATAGAAATAAAGAATCTACGCACAAGAATTTAGCAGTGTATTTTAATATAAAGAACATTTGATTATATTAATTATAACTTGGTCTGATCCATTTGTTTAAAAATGCACTTCATTAAGGAACTTGAGTTCCTTAATGTAGATATTCGTTAAGATGAGAAGTGTGCATTTAGAGTTACATTCACTGCGTAAGATAATCATGAGTTGCTAGGGAAGGATTAGATGTTCATTAAAAAGTACTGTTGGCAATTCAGTTAAAAAAGGTGTATATTAATTATCCAAAGATGGAAACGTGTAGATGGAAAGTTGTCTGAGAAGTGCTAAATACATTCAAGGTCCTCTTCTGATAGTGCTAATTTCCTTATCTATCTGTATCAAATACTTCATATAAAATTAATTGATTTGCTGGTTATAGTATAAAGATTTTTACTGATTGAAAGTAATGCATCTTCATTTTAGAAAAATAGGAAAAGGCTAAGAAAAGAATTTAAATCACATTATTTCACAAATGTGAAAATTTTATTATTTTTCTCCTGTCTACTATATGTATGCATGTATGTATGTGTATCTACACACATGATGGTGATTTTTTTTTTTTTTTTTTTTTTTTTTGGTTTTTCAAGACAGGGTTTCTCTGTGTAGCTTTGTGCCTTTCCTGGAACTCGCTTTGTAGACCAGGCTGACCTTGAACTCACAGAGATTTGCCTGGTCCCGAGTGCTGGGATTAAAGGCATGCGCCACCACCACCTGGCGGTGATCTTTTAATAGGAAAGCGAAGTCCCTTTATCTCTCACTTGCCTTTTAATTCCTCTCTCTCCTCATCTCTCTTTCTCTCTCCCCCTACCTTCCTCCCTTCCTTTCATCTTTCTAAAGGTTACAACTTTATTGCTGTCAAAATCTTGACCTAAAGTAATTCTCCCTCTCAACCTCTCAAACACCTGGGACTATAGGCACACCCCTCTCCCCCACATTGATGCTGTTCTCGTACATTGAGAAACATGCCATCAGAGCTGTAGAACATGTGCTTGTATTAATGAACAAAGCATAGTAAAGAACACAAACAGAAATCCATCTATTACAACTTGGTAGCATTCCAGCCCTCTAGACTGGTCTAAGTGTCTGTCCATGTAAAAGTGTGCACCCGGAACCCAACTACATGAACAGGACCAAAGAAAGCTGAAAAGGGGATTTTTCCCCCATTGATTCCTAAAATTAATGTTAGGGATTGTTTTGTTTTGTTTTGTTTGTTTTTATGGGACACCATTAGCTGGATGTCTCTTCCTTCTTCCTGTAGTATGGTGGTGATTTTCATCTTTGATCATTAGGAACTGTGGATTATAAGTGTAATCTGTGGTAAAACTAAGGTCAATTTTTACAAGTATAAAATGTATTTGTTAAAGTAATGCAATCTTGATAATACTTAAAATCAGTATGTGAATTACACTATTGATTTCTCCCTTCTCCAGGTTACAGGAAAATGCCGGTCATCCTGTTCTAATGCTACTTTGTTGTAACTTTTAAAAACGACCATGCCCAGTGGTTTCCAAGTACTGCCTTTCTGTGTATATAGTCATTTGAAAGACAGTTCTGTGAAAAAGTTACAAACGCCTATTCGGTGGGACAACAGACTACCCTTAGATGGTAAATGAGTCTTAATGTGATGTTGTCAAACCTGAGGCTAATCAAAAAGGGGTGGGCTTCTCATTCATATGGGGTCCTGTGCATGCCAAGCAGCACTGCCTTGTACCCTGTCACTGGAGTGCAGGCTGCTTCTGCCTGGTGCATTGATTAGCATGACTTGTGGCTCCAATACTGTCACTAAGAAAGGAGAGACAGGAGACGCTTGTACCTGTACTGTAGCTGACTCAGTGAGTGACATACTATGCTCTCACTTGTGAGTTCCTGTGTCATGAGGTTTAACCTACGAAAGTGTGTGTGTGTGTATGTGTGTGTGTGTGTGTGTGTGTGTGTGTTTGTCTGTCTGTCTGTCTGTTTAGTTGAGTGTGTCAGCCAGTTTAAGCCAGAGAAGCAGAACAAGTAGCAACAGATTTATTAAAGAGAACAAGGTGAACTCCACAGAGGATGCCACAAGTACAGAGAGGTCTTGGGGAGCCTACACGGGCTGTCACAGCCCAAAGCTTCTGCCCGCAGGAGGACTTCTTTTCTCCAGTTATTCAATTTTGATTAGTAAAGAGCAATGGGTTCTATTAGTGATGTTTTCTTCAGGTAATCTGGTACTGTGACGTTCACTCCTCCAGTCTCCTTCATCATCTGTTTTCATGTGTGTCCCACATATGAGGACAAACAAGTGAGAAGTCTTTTTCTGGGCCTACCTTAGTTTGTTTCATGTAATGACCCCTAGTTTCACTCATCCCCTGGAAATTCTGTTTTCTTTATGAGTGACTAAAACTCCATTGCATGGATATGCCACATTTTCCTTTTCTCTTTGTTTGTTGATGAACACCTAGACTCACTCTGTAAGTTGGCTGTTTTGAGCAGTGCCTCAATAACCACGAATGAGCAGGTGTCTGTGGTTGTCAACTAGGGCTCCTTTGGGTATATCCCTAGGAGCGGAGTAGCCAGGAGATATGAAGGCTGTACTCATTTGCATACCCACCAGCCTTGTATGAGGGGCTTGCCTAGACTGCAACAGCCTCTTCAGATTTTGTTCTGTTTGTTTTGTATCCAATATTTTCTCAGTCTATAAAAAAATCAACTTTCAATGAATTAAAAACATTAATGTAGGACCTGAAGCTCTGTAAACAGCTGTAAGAAAACAGTGAAGACACTTAAATATGCATGTATATCAAGAACTTTCTGAAGTAGGGCTCCAGTAGCTTAGAAAAAGATTTCAATAACTGCCAAATGAGATTACATGAAATTGAAAAGTTTCTTCACAACGAAGGAAACAACAGGGTGAAGAAATGGTCTATAGGAGGGAGGAAAATCCTTGACAATTACACACCTAGAGGGGATAATTTTTAGAGTACATAAGAAACTTCAAAAGAAACACTAGCCGGGCGGTGGTGGCACATGCCTTTAGTCCCAGCACTTGCGAAGTAGAGCCAGGCGGATCTCTGTGAGTTTGAGGCCAGCTGGGTCTACAGAGTGAGATACAGAACAGGCACCAAAACAACACAGAGAAACCCTGTCTCGAAAAAAACAAAAAAAAATAGTGACTGATAAACAGCCAATCACTTTTCCGAACACAAAGAGAGCCAGCAGAGGTGAAGGGAACGTAGCTTTCTTTCTCATGAAAGCCTATGCTCTGCTCTTGAAGGTTTTCTAACCATAGATAAGGATGTCCAGGATGATCTTGGGGCCAGAAGTCAGCTGGTTATGGAGTTATTATTACTTTTGTAAATTTCCTTCATGCGACACCTTGGTTGATATTTGATTGAATACTAACCAAAAATTTTGACATAGCACATCATAAAAAATTCATTACAAGTGAACATCTGGAGAAAGAGGTGAGTGTGGAGTTTCGTGTAAGAATATGAGGTCATTATTCTGCATTCACTGAAGACTACTACAGCAGCAAAGCCCCATGATGTAACAGATAACATCAATGATAACCTGAATCACTGTATGAGAGGAAGAGAACGGCTCTTCAATGCATGCTACAGTTAATTATGTAACATAGTATATTGCATTTCATCATATAGGATGGATTAATATGTAAAGATATTTAACACAGCAAAAAAAAAGTGATTCTTAGAACCCTGCCAAGAACTCACAAACATGTCACACTGACTTATCCTGGAAGTTGTTATGACAGTTCCTTTAATTGTTATGTTAACTAAGGTTTGACTCCCATTGGTCTTATTTTCTGTTCCTTTTGCTCTACTATGATACAGTTTTCTTCTAGGCATCTCACACACAGTTGTCAAATTCATGTTAATAGTTAATTCAAATTGGCCCGGATCCTTATTCTTACTGCTAAAAATTTGGATTACATTTGAAGTTTAAATTCTACCTCTTAATTATCTCCCTTCTTTTATCTTACACCTCTTGGCACTGCCTTTCTTTTCTCCTTTGCTTCTCATTAGCGACCCGCTGAGATGCACCACCTTCCTGCTTTGGCAACAAGCAAGGTAGCTGCAGTTTAGGAACTTGACTTTCTTTCCTCACTGCCAGACAGTTGGTCTTCTCCATTGTCCAAGTCACAGCTGCCATCACTGTTGTTGGTGTCACCTGGTAACGTTGAGTGTGTTTCATGTGTCTTTCTGTGTTCAACATAATAACTGCCAAGATCTGGCAACACTAAATATATAGAATCGATCATATCTTCCAAAGGCTTCCTGTATGTGTTTTCTGTATGTATGCTCTGCATACTACCTAAGCAACAGGGAGAGAGAGAAGGAGGAAGGGAGGAAGAGAGAGAGAGATAGACAGACAGACTGAGAGAGAGACAGAGGCACAGAGAGAGACAGAAATAGAGAGACAAAGACAGACAGAGACAGAGATCAGACATCCGTTATACCAGGTGAGGAGCCAAAAGCAAGCCCTTTCTGAGCCAGGTTATGTTAAACCTTCTCTGCTGGAAGTTTCTCTGCCAATCAGGCAATAAGTCAGAACTAAAAGCTACAGGAGACTAAGTGATGCAGAATTAATGAACTTCTTTGTGCCAAGGTACAAAAATAATATTTGAGCAGTAAACATTTTAGCATTGGATTACTAAGTGATTTATCAGTCATAGACAAAGCTGTCTCAGAGGTTCACAAAGCAATCGTGTTCACCAAGCTGAAGTACACACCTTCCTTTTACATCTAATGAGCCAAGACCTCACCTTATTCTAACATACCTGGATATGGGTTTCAATTGCAAAACATAATGATTGCATGGTCTATTGGATAGGCATTATGCATTTTTGAAATTGTATAAACACCTTTTTACATGCCAACCTTGGTGATAATTACCAAATGTCTATATCTAGCAAAACAGGCAATTCAGAAATATGAATTTGTGCTATTATTTATGATACACATGTGCTACTTTTCCCTAAATATAGATATTTGGTAATTATCACTGAGACTGTTCATTATAATTCCAAAGTAGATACCAATGAAATAGAAATATAAGTTATTTGGTAAAAATGTAAATGCTAAAAAATTCTCATTATCTTTTAGCAGAGTACAGTTCTTAGTTTGCTATTCATATTTCATGTAATAATTTTGGATTAGCCATCTGGTTTGTTGAGGGTTGAAAATCTGTTTAACACCAACGCAGAATTTTTGTTAAAAACTAAAACAAGCCATACAGAAATCACAAATGTTTTTCAGGTATTTCACAATGCTAATAATGAATAACTTTTAAAACATGTCATGTTGTCAGTACTTTTATCCTTCATATTCTCCCCATATTTGTGTAGACTCTCTATTGCATGCATTTTGAAACCCATTCTTAGGATGTGTCACTGTGAATGGTTGATACATGGTAAGTCTTATCAAAAGCCAGTGCTGGCCCATCTACATTTTTTTTAGTACCAATCTTTCCCTTGTGTGAATGTTTAGCTCTAGAAACTTAATAGATCATTTTCTCAATGGTGTCATATCTATTCCTGGGTTGAGTTGCCCCCTCTCTGCTTCATGGCTGCAAATTGATTCTATTCTACTATTCTGTCTATCCTGGATGGAAGCAATTAACCCACAATGGGAGACTAAGAAGCAGGGGACAAAGTTTGTCATCGTAGATCATTCCCTCATTCATATAAAGGCTTTGAAATGTGTATTGCAGGTGACTTCTGTACATGGCATCAGGGCTTATGAAATTATAGTAGTCAAAACAGTATGGTATATGTGAATAATTAATTGAATAGATCAATGGAACATACTAGAGACCTATGAAAAGGTTCACAAGAATCAGGCAACTGATCCTTGACAAAAGAGTAAGGCGAGAACAATAGGTGAGACACAGGTGAATGGTGCTTTTCCAACTGAACATCTGTAGATTTACTAAGTATTCATAGACACAAACATACCCTTAAGGTAATTCAAGATGAATCGCATAATCAAATCCAAAATTCAAAAGTATAAGACACCTAAAATGCAATATTGGAGGAAACATAGATAATGTAAAATAACCTTTTAGACGCAGTCAATGCCAAAAGTATGATATATGTAAGAAGGAATATTAAGGTGAATTTTATTAAATTTGCATTCAGGGTCTGTAATTGATGCTGTCAAAATAACAAAATGAAGCCACACATTATGAACAATATTTGTAAAAGACTTATCTGATGAACTTTTTTCTAAAACATGCAAAAAAACAACTACAACTCAACAATAGTTAGAAACAAGCAAGCCAGCTCAAAAGCGGGCTAAAGACATTAACAGATGCCTCACTTATGATGGAATGTGGCTGGCAAAGAGCATCCTCCTGACATGCCATTACAAAAGTACCAGTGAAGATGTGATGCCACTGCATAACTATTAAGCAGAAAATCTAGGAAAGAGACAACATTAAACACTGGTGGATGCAGAACAATGGGCTTGCAGTCTTCGCTGATTAGAAGACAGACTGTAGCCACCTTGGAAGATGCCTAGGAAAAAACACAAGATGGAGAACTTGGCTTCTTCTCATTTGGTTTCAAAACAATATCTTATTTCACTTTTACAATTTTTAATTTATATGCAAAGTATTGGGTTTCATTATGGCATTTTCAAACACTTTGACAGTTACTTACAAAACTAAACATACTCTTTCTATATGATCAACTAATTATATGCCTTGTGTTAACTCAGGAATTGAAAATTTTATCTATACAAACCTGTAAATGGATGTTTCTAATAGTCTTAATCATAATTGCCAAAACTTGGAAGATAACCAGATGCCTTCCAGTAGTCAAATAGTTAAACTACTATACAACTAGGTAATGAAATATTTTTATCAGTAAAAACTGATTTTAAAGCCTTGAGAAGATATAGAGAAAATTTAAATTTCTATGCTACTGAATCAAAGAATCCAGCCTGAGAGGGCTATACACTATTTAACTGCAACTATGTGGCACTCTGTAAAAGTCAAAATTGTTGAGGTCTGGGCATCATGGTTCATGCTTATATTCTCAGCACTTGGGTGTTGGACACAAAGTCAAAAATTCAATATTCTCCTCTGCTATATAGTAAGTTACAGAACTTCCTATCTCAAGAATTAACAACCAACCAACTAACTAACCAACAAAGAAAACACTAAAGAGATATTACAGAGATCAGTGTTTCCCCAGAAGTTGTTGGAAGAGAGATGAACAGGCAGGAACAATGGATTTCAGGTCTCTCAAAATACTATGCATGATAATGTAATGGTGGGTCTATGTATTTACACTCTTTTCCACACACAGCAAATACACAACACCAAAGTGAACCCTAAGGTACACTATGGGTGATAATGACATGTCAGCACAGGTTCCTCAGTTGTAACAAACAAATGCACCACTCTGCCATGGGAGGAGATGAGGAGAGTAAAGGAGATGCCACATACGGAAGCACAGATAACACACGGGATACCTCTGCACCTTTCTCTCAATATTGCTATAAATTTAAAATTGTTCTAAAAAGTGAATTGATATTTTATATACATATTTAGTAGGAGATTCTCTCTCTCTCTTTCTCTCTCTCTCTGTGTGTGTGTGTGTGTGTGTGTGTGTGTGTGTGTGTGTGTGTGCTTGTTTATGAATTTCCTTCTACCCATGGCAGGAAATGATGGCTACATGTTCATATTTACTTACTTTATGTCACATCACAGTGTCATTTGGGAAGGACTGTGATTGGACAACTGTTCTGGCAGCATTAGATCCATGCTGACTAAGACATCATAATAGTCATGTTTCAGATACATTGGAAAACACTGAGAAAGAAAACTGGAGTTTTTTTTTCACTTTGTTTTGAAAGAATATCTGACTTCACTTTTATTATTTTAATTGGCATAAATGGCATTAGTTATTTTTTAATTGAAAGTAGATTCTTCTGTCATATAATACATACTCACCACAGTTTGAACTCCCTCCACTCCTCCCAGTTAGCCACCACCTCCCGTCTCCCTATATTCACTCATGCTCTGTCTCCCATCAGAAAAGAGCAGGCCTGCAAGAGGCAACAACCGAATAGGATGAAACAAGATACAATGCTGTGGGATGTCTTTTTGTACGCTGTGAATGTGTGTTGCTCTGATTGGTTGATAAATAAAACGCCGATTGGCCAGTAGCCAGACATAGGCAGGGCAAGTAGATGAGGAGAATTCTGGGAAGAGGAAGGATGAGTCAGGAGTCACCAGCCAGACACAGAGGAAGCAAGATGACAAGGCTGAACTTAGAAAAGGCACCAAGTCACGTAGCTAAACATATAGAATTATGGGTTAATTTAAATGTAAGAGCTAGTGAGTAATAAGCCTGAGCTAATGGCCAAGCAGTTATAGTTAACATAAACTTCTGAGTGATTATTTTATAAGTGGACTGTGGGACTGTGGGGACCAGGCAGGACACAGGAAAACTACCTACAATACGACAAGACAAGACGAAGGCCCTCGTAACAAGGCTGGACAAGGCAAACCAACAGGAGGAAAAGAGTCCCAAGAGCAGGCAAAAGAGTGAGAGACACACACGCTCCCACTATAGGAGTCCCATAAAAACATGAGCTAACAGCCATAGCACATATGCAGAAGACCTGCAGAGGCTTGATGCAGACCCATGCAGGCCCCATGCTTGCCCCTTCAGTCTCTGTGAACCCAGATGAGCCCTGCTTAGTTGATTTTGGTGGGCCGTGTTCTCCTGGTCCCTTCTATTCCCTCTGACTCCTACAAGTTTTCCTCCTCTTCTGTGTGGGTTTGCCCATCTCTGAGAAGAGGGACCCCATAGACGTTTCCAATTTGGACTTTCTCTTTACTGTGTGTCTCTGCACCTGCTCCCATCGGATGCAGGAGGAAGTCTTTCATGACAACTGGACAAGGCACTGATCTATGAGTATAGATCATTAGGAATCATTTCATAGATTTTTTTTCTTTTTTCCCCCGGTTGGTAATGTTCTATCCTAGGTCTTTGGGCTAGCCAGTCTTCATTTCCCAGCCATCCACGCAGTGTTGGTTCAAATATTTTGTCGTTGTTGTTCATTCCCCTGCTTTTTTCCCATCCATCCTATTGGGTCCCTAATACCCCTCAACTCATAATAGTAATCTCCTTAAGACTTCTTAATATTTTACAATTTAGATTATATACTGAATCTGTTGTTAAAGTGAAGAAAATACAAGATTTTCACATGTGAATCTATTTGGGTGGTAGTGGGGATTGAACCCAGGCCCCTTCTACACACTAGTCACTATGCCACTGAGTGTGGCCCCAGCAATTTCATTTTTATAGAAAGAAGAACACCAAGCTTTGCTCTGTGCCCTCTCATTTATTACTAGAACCTCTGACAAGGATTAGTTCAATGAACTGCTGCTTCTCTTGGAAGAGTGTAATTTAAAAATAGATCTACAACTACATAATGCATCAAGAATGATTTTCAGTACAGATCCACAGATCATTAACCTTCTGAATTCTTTACCATATTTCTTCCCCAATTTTTTTATCTTAATTAACATTGATGTGTGTGTGTGTGTGTGTGTGTGTGTGTGTGTGTGTGTGTGTGTGTGTGCCTGTACAAGTGCACGTGGAGGTCAGAGGTTGACATTGGGATGTTTTATTCATTTACCTCTATGGTTTTGAAGCAAGGTCTCTCCCTGGACCTGGGAATCACTGTTTTGGCTAGACTGGTTGGTCAGTATATCCCTGGGATCCACTTGTTTCTAAGCCCAGCACTGCGCTGCTCGTGTACACTGTCCAGCGGTTTTTACATTGGCTCTATGGATTCAAATTCAGGTCTACGCAGCAAGCACTCTTCTCCGAGTAGTCTCTCCCGCTGTGCTCTATGTTTTCCTTACAACACAACTTCTGCAGGAAGAGTCCATTTTCAGACTGAGTGAAGAGAAAAAGGACAATAAATATGCATGTTTGCTGAGCAGGCCTTCCTTCCTGTGCTACAGACATCACAGGCTTCAGACAACACTGACTGTTTGTAAGAAACCACCAGTTACCACTAACTCAGTGACTCTCTGCAGGTACGGCATGCGGAGCCCTCGGAGTGTGTCAAAAGATCGAGGCCCAGTGTCTCAGATAAATATGTTGAAACACCCATGCTGCATTAGAGAGGATTGCCTAATGAAAGACATTTGAAATCTTCGTATTTGTATCTCCTCACCTGAAAACTAGATTTTGTCTCTGATGCTTTCATTGGAGGTAACTCTTAAGACGGATTAGGGATATGAAGAAGCAAACATCCCTGAAAACTACGATCAAAGCTTACCACATCTCAGGTGATGATCGAACACACTTGACAATGGGTATGACTGAATGTGTTCTACCCTTCATACTCGGTAATATTTGTTCTGAGAATTTAATATAGTTAGTGTACATTTCTGTGTTCCTTTCCAGGAAGTGATCTCATTGTCTCACCTAAACAAGGAAGCAATTAGAACAGAAGGAGACTGACATGACTAGGTATGAAGCAGACACCTTCAGGATTGCCAGAGTTTGGAGCAGTCTAATCCAGTATTTATGGATATAGTACTGTCCTCATACTCACTTGAAAGCAGCTTGATTACAGACCCGGACTTAAAGAAGAGGGCTCGACAGTTCAGTTTTCTGGAAGGCCTCCTGCCTCTTACCCTGTGTTTGTGCACTATTCTTTGCTACTTTTCAAACAAAAGTTCGACGTTTTGCAGACAGGGTGAACTGTGTATGTACATGGTTTAAAGTGATGCATAAGGCATCTAAGTATAGTCAGGTGCCTTTTTCAGAACGGTAGTCCCAGGCCACTCTGTTGATAATTCTTGGGTACTCTATTCAGCATAGCTCTTTCACTGTGATTTTTCTCTGTCATTTTTGTGACCTGTAACTTCTACTGTTTCTCCAGATGTAGAAGTTTCCGATCTCTGAGCCTGGGCAAAGCCTTCTCTCCAGGCTTTGTTTTAGGGGAAGGCCAGACAGTTAGTTCTGGAGAGTCCACCAGGGTACAACTCTTAGAAGTTTCTGTATGTCAAAATGTATTTTCAAAAATCTACAATCTCCAGTCCTCTGCCTCAAGGCTGTTAGATGCTATCTTTATTGAAGACTGTCTTTTTAAATGTAGATGTTGGAATCAAAGTCTCAGGGTAAGACAGAAACCATACTTTCACCCCAGCTAGAGGGTTGGTTTTACCAGCATGTCTACTGTAAGGCTGCACAGGCCAGCCCCTTCAGCCCTTGGATGATTAAAAATGAAATAACACTAGGAATACCTGTTGGGGTGACCACAACATCACACCACAATGGTCTGTATTCACATACACTGGGGCTAAATACTAGTGTTGGGAGAATAAAAATCTGAAGTCCCTATTCACAAGAAATACACAGCTCTTCAAAGTGATCTCTTTGCAGCATCCTGGTGAAGCATCTCAGAAGATAATCTGATCTGCATTTCCTAATGAAGCACTGCTGTTCACTGAATCCAAATGTGCAGCTAGCTCCCAGAAGTCAGAGCTTTTGACTCTGGGATGAATATTCACTCCATTTAGAGTAACTCAAGGGAAACGAGATAAAAATCATGATTTTATCACCCCTTCTAGTATTGTTCCTGTCTTTACACTACTGTCAGAATCCTTTTTACAAAGAAATGCTATTTCTTCCTTCTAAATTTGAGTGGTAAAGCTAAAATCTAAACCCCCAAATGATATTATTGAAGCCACAGCAACGCCCGGGACTCTACAATCATGTGGAGGCGGTGGTGTTTTCATAAGGTACAAATGTTCTTCAACTTTGTCCTAATTACCTCCATTTTAGAGATGAAACTCTGCATACTTAGGATTGAAATGGTCAGTTCTTTGGGATGCTGAGGTCAAGTTAAAGACAAGAGAAAGGAGACCGAGGAGTGGTGTACGCACACATTATCAGAATGTTCTTTCTCCTCTATTACATCTTCAAATCGAGTGCCATTAATGCCTAGAATTAGTAACCTCAAGAGGCAGCCTGCACTAGATAGAGTTCTGCTCCCAAGGTACTGCATGATTATGTTGTGAGATATTTGCAGAGAAGTTTATTTCGGGCTGGGTGAAATTAGCATCTTTGTTTACAAGAATACCATCTCACTGATCAACTTAAAGTACATGCCTAATAACCAGCATTTCTCAGGCTTTTGTGTTGCCCTTAATTAGACTCTTCAAAGTTAATTAGGGGAACGAAGGGTACTTTCTGTTCTTTTAAGTCCCCTTTAACAGAGTCTTGCACATAAAGTGTTCTTACTCTTGTGGGTAGTTTGGCTTCTGTTTTAAACCTACTGGTTAACTGTTCATTGGTTAACTTGTCCTTGGTTTTCATAGTATAATCCACTTTATTATTCTCAGTGCTTTTGATGCTTACCCTCTTATTCTTCAACCACTACACAATTTAATTTTTAGATATAAGATTTTACATTAATCTTTAATATTTTATTCAAGGACTAGAAACTGGCAAAACTGATTTTTTGGAACATCTGTGTGCAGAGACTAGGATAGCATTGACCATAGATATTTTGGAAAAAAACAAAAACAAACTGAGTTTTTAGACTCGCATGCCTCAGCAAATGGGTAAGGGATTGGTGGTGTAGGATATAATACAAATTTCATTTGAATCCAGACAAAAATCACTGGCTTCATTTTGATACCTATTCGCTTTCAAGTAGTTTAATAATTTGTATTTATAAGAACTTGGTGCATACAGAAAATAGGAGCACAGAATAGGAAGCTAATCCCAAGAAAGTGGGTTTTGCAGCCATGACGCCTGCCTGCTTTGTGCTGCTAATAGTAATAAGAGACCATTAGAAGGGAAGCCAGTAGATAGGAAATAGTCTTTGCATTAGAGCGCAAGTCTGTCACTCTCCTGGCAGCCCTGCCGAGAGCTCCACATCAAAGCCACCACACTGTGTTAATGGTGTCACTTATCCCCAGCCTTTACACTGTCCCATATGCAGTGACTTTGCAGGGGGTGTGCGTATGAGGGTGAGAGGGGAGTTGACAATGTGCTAGAAGAAACCGTAGGAGATAAACCGACTGTGACTTATCACCTCTAATCCTTGCAATGGAAAACATTTAGGAAGAGCAAATAATGGAGGTTTTTCAGAAACCCGCTTTTGTAAAAAGCCCCCTGATTTAATTAGGGATCTAAAAATGGAATAATAAAAATAATTTTAAAAAGTCATGAGAAAATCCTTGCTATGTTTATATAATTGGAAGAAAGAAATCATGCTTTAAAACAATTTCCTTAAAATGACTTAGTTTTGATTATATGCTTGAAAAAATGTGTGTGTGTGTGTGTGTGTGTGTGTGTGTGTGTGTGTGTGTGTGTGTGATAGAGAGAGGGGAGGAGAGAGAGGGAGGGAGACAGAGAGGCTTTCATTATTTTTTAGATGGCAATTACAATCATAAATATCTACATAACAAGTTGCTGAAACAAAAATGTTTCTATTAAACTGAAAGCAATCAATGATAATGTACCTCTATTCTACTTACTGCTGTCTCCCTTTCCTGGCTAATATTGCTGTCATCATATTTGTTTTTTGTTGGTCTTTTATATCTAGTACTCACTGACTGATACTTCTTGACAGGTGGAGCAGCATGTCCAGGCACATGAGGCCAATGTCCTCTCTGTCACTGCTCACTGGGGCTCTGTAGGACATCGCTGCGTATCTGCCCCAGAGCCTGTCTCTCCCAGTCCTTGGCTAGACACAGTAGCCTATGTCTCGGACATCTTCTCAGTAAATGTCTTAGTGTCTGAGCCGGCTGGAATACTCCTGGAGCTGTCCACAGGTTTTGGGAGAATTCAGAGGAAGAAACATAAATGACTGAGTTGACCCTGGACATTCCAAATGTGAATAGTTATTATAAATAGCACATCAGAAAATAAAATACAACCATTTCAAAGGAAATACTGCTAATTAAAGGATAATTAAAAAACAAAACAAAACCAATCATGTCTATTTCTTTAAATCATATCAAGACTATTTAGAATAAAGTCCTGTTGTATCTGGAGGTAGAAACAGAAAATTTCAATACACTGTGATAGAAGCTTTAATAAGTGGTTAGAAAAGAAATTGTAGCAGAGACAACCTCACCGATTACATATCTGAAATCTAGAGAGTCTCTGCCTCCACCTTATGCTTTGTGTTTAATCTTAGTTCTATCGCAGGCCATGTCAGGCTTTGACTGCATGGGGCAATGACATGTGATGCTTTCTTAACAGATCAGGAAAAGGAAGCTTTGAAAAGCAGAGAAAGGCCAAGGAGATGGATGGGTCAATCAAATGCCTGCTACCAGAAGCATGAGGGCGTAAGATCAGATTTCCAGAGCCCACATATAATGCCAGCCACAGCTGTGTGCACCTGCAACCCCTAGTACCGGAGGGGCTGGGCGCCACAGAACAGGTGGATCCCTAAAACTCATTGGCCGGCCAGCCTAACTGAACAGATGAACTTTGAGTTCAGTTAGAGAAACTATTTCAAATGCATAGGTGATGTGTCACTGAGTAAAGACACCTGATGTCAAATTGTTTTAAGGGATGTCTTGAGAGATGTCTTAGCTATTGAGAGTGCCTGCTGCTCTTCCACAGGTCCTGAGTTTGATTACTAGCACTCACCAGGCAGCTCTTAACTCCAATTCTAAAGGATCTTACACCCTCATTTGGCCTCCAGGAACACATGCACACATACACATAAACACAAAGCTAAATCTTCAAGGTTACCTGGTCTTTACCTCCAGCCTCCACACACATGCCCACCTTCAAGCGCAGACGCACATACCCACACTAACAAGTGCGTCATAGCACATACAACACCAGAAAAACAGGGAGGGCCCGAAAAGTCTTTAGCCTGTCTGTATAGTTATGATGCTTCCATGTGGGAATGTATTATGCAAATGAAGTGCATCTTATCAACTCCAGAAATCCATTTTTCTTCTCACCCTCTCATCTCCGCTAACAGCACCGAAGTCAAGCCATGCTGGAGCTTCACGGAGATGTGGCCTTGCGCTTATTCTCTCTTCCTGACTCAGCCGCTCATACTCCCTCTTTAGTGTCCTGACTGCTGCTGCTTGTTTTAGGGACAACTCCACAGTTCTACATGTGTTCTTCCTTCTAAATCATCATCAGAGTCCCGCAGGTTAGAGAATGGTCACGCGTGACCTCTCCGTGCACGGCGATCAAGACCGTCGACTTGATTACTTTTCTTGAAACTGGATATCAGTTGGTTTTACATTCCAGTCTGTCCGAACTTCCAGGGGACATCTCTGAAGGCACGAGGTGGTGCTCGCCAGTGCCCTAGTCCATCATCCCCCAAGCCTGCTGGGGTGGTGCTTATCATCCACAAAGCCTCCCCAGCCTTTTCCTCTGAAACTTGCTGTCTTCCTGTCTTCTCCTCTCCCACGTGCCCCCTACGCTTCAGCCACAAGGCATGTCTCACTGCGTTCTGAATATGCCACTCTTTGAAACTCTGTGTTGTCCCAGATGCTGTTTCTTTTCCTGGAGTGCCCTTCCTTCCTTTCTGTGCAGAGCACACTCCCACTCACGCAGAAGGACCTAGCTCAAATGCCATCTCTTCACTGAAACCCCCTCCAGTCCTACAAAAGCCACGTTCTCCCATTCACGGGCACATTGGCCTTTTGTGGTGTCTGAGGGAGAAGGGCCCTCCTTAGCAATCCCCGAGCTGTGAGCTCTGGGAAGGTTGTGGAACCTTTTGAATTTTTTATTTTGATCATTAATCAAAAGTTCAATATCTCATCTGGAGGAATGATGGATTTCTGGCCCCTTCCTGTGTATCTTCCTATAGTCTGACTTCATCCAGTCCCTCTGTCTCTGGCCTCAGTGTCCCCCAGGAAGGTCTTGTAAAACAAGATGGGCACAATGTAAAACCATGTGGGAAGTTTTGGAGAGCCTTTGTCTCTGCAAGGGAACCCTTTTACGCCAGCTGAGGTATGTGGCTAACACTCTCACTAGATTTTACTGAATTTTAGAGTATTGTCCAGAGAGAATATGGGGGCCTTATTTTCAATTAAAAGCATGCTAATATTAAATATTTGTGAAAAAAGTTGTATCTTGCTTTGACATAGAGCAATTCCTTAAATATGTATTCATGGATGTACATAATTATATTCATTAGTTGGCTAACCTTCAGCCTTGAAAACATAATGCAAGTACTATTATATCGATTGAGCAAGTTGTGTTTCTGTATTTAGAAATATATATGTTTATACATGTATGTATAAAAAAACTAATAAAAAAGTGGCCATGATTTTGAAAGAGAGCACGGGCAGATGTATGGGAGTATTTGGAGAGAGGAAAGGAAGGGAAAATGATATAATTATATCATATCTCAAAAAGTAAAATGAATAATTATGAAATTATAAGAATTATAATACCAGCTGTAAAAGGAGGAGTGTGTATAACACATTTGAAAGATTAGTTAAGTTGGTTAAAGAAAAAGAAAGATGCCTTGAAAAAGCCTTGGGATGAATTGTTGTTCTTCAGGTAATAAAGGATCAGCATGTGCTCTGTGGATGCAAATGTGAAAGATGCAGCCAGTGAGCTCCAGAACAAGGCCTTTCTCACTAATGCTGCGTCTTTACAGGCAGCAACAGTGCATGCATCCTCTGTACACTCGGTGGTGCCTTTGCATGGCTGTCCAGCCACCTCTGTGTATGAGAGGAGAAAGTGAAAGAGGTTAGCAGAAAACATCTGCACCGGATAGACTCCTCCACCTGCCTTCTTATCGCGTCACACCCCCTGGGCGACCACAGTTCAGTGCAGTATCATTAACCATTTTTCAGAAAGTAGGTAATTATGACCTAAAAACCGTTAGTAACTTTCCCTTAAAACCTAAAGATTTTTTACTGTAAGAGCCAAAAATTAGCCCCAGGTCAAGGGCCCAGTTTTCTGACTCATTTTAGCTGCCATCAAATTACTGATATGAATTTGCTTTGAATAGTGTCCGCACTCTGGTTGTGATGTTTGTGGTCCTGTAGGGACAAGTATGAAGGGCATATTGACAGAAATGTACCAGCCTTCCAGGAAATAACAATTTGTATGAATTCTACTTCTCATGTACTAGGCCAAGCCCTCTGAAGAGCTGTAGAGGAAATAAATCCATCCATCCATATACGTGTATGAATACGTAACTTTGGCAGGAATGATATCCCCAGTGTTCCCGACACTCCTCTGCTTGGGCCTGAGCGTGAGCGGTTTCTAGCTTCAGACGTCAGATGTTCTGAATGTGTTCGCTCAGTCTTTGGGTCGGTTTCTTTGCTCACCATCATCATTCTAATCATCCTCCGTTCTGGAAGCCATCAGAGCTTCCACTCCAAGGGTGTAATTAGCAAATGCACAGAAGAACAAAACTTCCACAAATATGAGTTTCAGGTGCTATTTGCTGGTTGAGGAGATTAAGAAGGAAAAAAATAATCTCAGAGTACACATATTCATTCAAAGCACAGTTTGAGGGTTTTTAGGACATTTGATCAGTTACTCAAAATTTCAGTAATTTGACCTATGTCTAATTCTTTCAGGGCTACTGACTGAACATTAATTCAGAAGCCATATACCACTTGAAGGGTAACGAGACAATGGTCTTTTGGAAAAAGAAAGATTCAGTTGTCAACGTCCTTTATAAAGACACTATCTTTATTAATTCTTTAAGACTTCCATATACTGTAATTTAATCATATTCAACTCAACTGCTCTTCCTAACTCCTAGATAAACTACCCACCCCCAACCCTCCCACCCCCGCCTCTTAAACAGCATATTGAGTTCAATTTGTGCTACTCCTGTACGTCTAGACGTGGCTCATCTAGGCGTACAGGAGTAGCACATCAGCCTACTGACGTAGGAGAAGCATGATCAGCCTACCAGACCAATTCATGTAAAGAAAACTCTTTCTCCTCTAGCAGCCACCAACTGTGAGCATCCCTGCTCCATGCTAGAATGCTGATTGGTTCAATCTGGTGCTGGTCTCATGCAGACAAACAGAGCTGCTTTGAGTTCATGAGTGCAGGGGTACTGTCCGGTCCATGAGACACTGTGTTGCTCTGGTCCTTTCTGATCGCTAATTCTTTGATTCTAGTTGCTTTTTCTGTTTTTATTTCATTTTCATAAGCATCTGTTAATTGTGTATAAAACAATGGGTTTGTTATCACATTTCGTACACATATATATTTTGATCACCTTCAGTCTCCTATTATCACATCATGCACACCCTCCCACTGCTCCCCTCCCTCTGACCTAAGTCCTCCTTCCACCATTACGTGTTATCTCTATTGTTCATTTTCTTTAATTATTATTGCTGCATGTATAACTACATATAAGCATACACACACAACCTGCTGAGTCAATTTAGTGTTGATAGAATAGATGTGTTCTTGAGGCTCACCATTTGGTATTAGATGAACAATGCAGAGACAGACTTATTGCAGAAGACTGATTTTCCCTCTTTCAAACTGGCTGCTGCTAGTCATCTAGGTAGGGGTGGGACAGCGTGAGATTTCCCTCATTCTCATTCACATGTCAGCTGGCGTTGTCATTGGGAAAGTTTCGTGTAGGCAGCCATATTGTTGAAACTTCATAGGTGCAGCTTCCTTAGCTTGCGTAGAAGACACAGTCACCCTGCAGTCCTCCTAGCCATCTGTCTGTTACGGTTTTTCTGCTCTCTTCCACATGTTACTGGAGCCTAGGTGTAGGGGGTTATGTTGTAGATTTATCAGCTGGGGTTGGACACCTCACAGTCAGTTGTTCTCTGCAGCTTGATCTACTGTGGCGTTCTGTGATGGTCTCAGTCTGTTGCAAATAGCAACTTCTATGATAAATGGGAGAGTTATACTTGTGGTGATATATTGTGTACCCCAATAAAGCTTGGCAGAGGAACAGAGGACAGAGCCAGGCATTGTATTAGACATAGGGCCAGACAGCAGTGGCACACACCCTTAATCCTATCACTTGGGAGGCAGAGATCCCCCTGGATCTCTGTGAGCTCAAGGCCACACTGGAAACAGAGCCAGGCAGTGGTGGCACACACCTTTAATCCCAGTACTGGGAAGCACATACGCCTTTAATACCAGGAAGTGGTGGCAGGGCGGAGAAAAGTATATAAGGCGTGAGCAAAAAGGCAGTTCAGCTGAGACCCTTCTGAGTGAGGACTCAGAGGATTTCAGTCAGAGGATTCGTGGAGTTGGTGAGGTAAGAGGTGGTGGCTGTGGCTTTCTCTGCTTCTCTGATCTTTCAGCTTTCACCCCAGTATCTGGCTCCAGGTTTGGTTTTTTTTTTTATTTTATTAAAAGACCATCTAAGGTTCAAACAACATATACTTGTTTACAAGTATAAAGATAAATATTTAGAATATTGTTAGAATCATGGTGGTTTAGGAAAGCAGCAGTAGTAGGTTCTTCTCTAGGTTCCCTGGCCTCACCAGCAGAGATATTTGTCTGGGTTTACAGTATTACACACAAACTCTCTCTCTTCTTGAGCAGGCTTTAGTCCAATTAGAAGGCTGTTGATTACAGACAAAACTCAAATGCCAGTACTGCACCTTTGAACATATGGATAGATCTTGCCATGCTTTTTTCCTTTCTTTTATTTTCTTAAACTTTCTCTGACATAAGTTTGTGAAGTGGTTTTGGATTCATTCATTCATTCATTCATTCATTCATTCATTCATTCATTTATTCAGTGGATGACCTGGAATCTAGTGACTCACTGATAATGTGAAAATGGGTGTATGTTAATTTGGAATACTGAGACAGAATGTCATGAATAGGGTAACAATAACTGTATATTTCCCACAGTTCTGAATACTATCTAAGATCTAGGAGTTGGCAGATTTGATTCTTGGTTAGGGCTATCCTCCTGGGTTGCAGAAAAAGCTATCTTTTTGGTATATCCTAAAATAACAAAGAGATGGCACTCTGCTCTTCCTTTTATAAGAACACTAAACTAACTATGTGGGCTCTGGCCTCATGGACTCATCCAAGCTTAATCATCTTCCAAAAGTGTCATCTCCAAATACCATCACATTGGGGATGGGTTCTCCAGTGTTTGATTTTGGAAAGACAATCATTCTGTGAGTAACAAAGGACCTTTCCAGAAATCTCTCAGCCAGAGAACTAGCCATTTTGTAGAAAACAAGTCTCGTGTTACATTGAAATAATCACATTAGCTTTCTTCTCATTGGATGAGAGTGTCTGGTATAAATAACTTAAGTGAGGAGGGCCTATTGAGGCTTATGGTGTCAAAACATCAGTTTGTGAATGTTCAGTTTGTGATGATTGTGTGGTTTAGTTTGTGATGATTGTGTGGTTCAGCTATGATTGTGAGGTCCCATTATTTTCTTCCCATTTGTTCTTCCTCTCCAACTTACTAATATAAATTCTATTTTGCATGAAGAAAATAATCAACATTCTCATCAATATGGTGCCACAGAAGGAGAATTATGGGTATAGATTTATTTTTCAACTGTCCATTGGAAGTCTTTGCATCTACTTAACAGTTTAATAGCTGAATTGAAACACTACATTGTCTTTAAAACTGTGAATTCAATATATTCTTATTGTCACTATGAGGATGCTGAGATCCAGAAGGTAAAACAGCGTTCCATTAGTCAGTTTGTCATATAAGAGAACTAGAATTGAGTTATCTTGGTTTCAGGGCTTTATATTTTGCCCAATCATTATTGCCATGCTTTGTTTTCCCCCAAACTTTTACTCTTCCAAATTAGACTTCCACTCCCCTTAGGGATTCTGGGATTAAATGTGAGTTTTAGGTGCATTTGCCTGGGTACATCAGATTTGACCACATTAGTGATGAAATTAGCACTTGTGCATGCTTTGGAGTTAAAATGGAAATACTCCAATGAACCAAAATTTGAATATTCTTTTCTATTTTCTTCTTTAGTTGGGAGTAAACCTCTATATCTGATGAGTTAGAAGTGGATCTAAAATAGCTTTACATTCTCTGAAGCAGCATTTTAAATATAAAAGCACAATGTAGATGATTAAATGCATTTGGCCATATTTTTCATGGTCTTAAAATATGCGATACACAACATACACACTTAGAGCAACACACATGAACTTCTATTTTAGTACATGTGTGCATATGTTCATATGTATGTGTATTAAAATAGAAGTGTGTGTGTGTGTGTGTGTGTGTGTGTGTGTGTGTGTGTGTGTGTGTATACTTAAGATATCAAGATATCATGGACCATGCATCAACTTAACTCCAACCATAAAGAGTACAATAGAAATAAAAGGCGAAAGAATTGCACATTCATGTAACTAAATTTAATTTGGGTAGGATAATTATTGGTACACAAGAATGAACTATTTTGACTAAGATAGGTTTCCTATCTTCCTTTATATCTTATACCCAAATTTAGTACCTCTTGATTGAATCCAGATTGTAAAACAATTTTGAAATGATTGAGAGTAAGTACTCTGGAGCGAAGTTTTAAAAAAGCATTAGATTTTAGAATTAATTGTTCATAAAATTTCAATACAGCAAGTGTTTAGTGCCTGACAGATTTGCTGACTATTGCAGAATACCCATACATCCAGGTAAGTCTATAGCAGTAGGGGATGAGTACAAAGGTATTTGATTAACTGTTTTGCTTCGTTGTTTTTCATTTTTGTTAGCTTCCTTCTCATGCCTGTCTTATTCACTGTACTCTCTATATGTTGACCTTCTTTATGCAGTTCATGTTGCCCCTGTCTGAAGGTCCTTCCTGAAGAAAGTGTGCCGTGTTTAAATCCTTGCATTCCTCTGAGGTGTATTCAAAGTCCTGATCCTACAGAAGACTTTCACCTCTAAGTAGCACACTATCTTTAATCTTGTAGGCCTTTGCTTTTTCATTACATCTACATTTTTTAAAAAATATATTGGCTTGTTTGCTTGTTTTTATATGTTTTTTTTTTCAGTCATCTAAAATCCGTGATAATGGAGACCTTGTTTGGGTCTCTGCTTATTTCTGGGGTCAGTATGTGCTGGTACTAAGGAAGTGTCCCACCATTGACTTCTAAAGGAGTGACTGATTTCCTGAGGAGAGCAGTCCTTTTGTCCTCGAGGACAGTTGTCACGTGTTGGGACATGTGCCTTTGATGTAGTTCTGGATCTCAGCTGGGGTAGCTATTCTTTTTCTAAAACTTCTTTTTCTTCAAAGAAGTTGAATTTGAAGAATTCTGTAACTTTGGATTCAGTTTTTTACTATCAAATTAAAGCTAAAAATGCTGCCAGGAAGGAGGGTAGCCAGATTGGAGGGGGAGGAGGCGAGGGGTGGGAGAAGGGGAAGCAGAGAGTTGGGGGAGGAGATGGCGGAAAGATCCAGGAAACCTGAGGAGAGGCAACAAAAACCAATTAAAGTTAATGAACTACAGCTAAGCTTTTTTATTTTAGTTTTTTTTTCCCCTCAGTATACCAGCCTCAACTTGGAATTATTTTTCTTGGAGAGACACTGTAACTAGATTATTTCCTCACTACCCCCACCATAAAAAAAAAAAGTATCTTTTTAGTCAACAAAAGCGTGAGGGTATGTTTTGTGCGTGTTTCTAGTGGGTTTGTCGCTTGGCCTTCAGCCTTGGTCCCACCACCCACTGAAATCTGGCAAACGCCCAGGATGTCACAAATTCTGTTCTCCTATATCTTCACATAAGCTGAGAGTCGGCCCCACTGAATAGTTATCTGGAGGCAGGAGGCGGAGGTCCAATTGTAGTATCTAATATTAGAAATAGAGACGCCTCCAATGGTTTTTGGCAGACTTAGCCTAGAAAGAGCGGCTCTGGCTCTCCCACTCAAACGTCTTAAATAGTTTATATATCTGCTTGATTAATTTGGCTAGAGACATGGTTGCAGTTAATGTCTTAGGTATAAAAGTTCAGGGAAAGATTCTTATCTCAATTATACCCATTCTCTAGAACAACTCATTCTGTCAAGCCAGCTCTGATAAATGTTAATGATAACGAAACATTATCTTATAGTTATTTAATTTCTGTTGCCCGTAGGATGTCCACAAAGCTGAATGTGAAGGAGATGTACTTCATCAGCATGTTCTCTTCATTCAGTATTTTGGCGAAGCTTCACGTTCAAATACATAATTCCATTCTAAAATGCAAAGAATGATATAAAATGATTTAAATTAATCCAAGAGATATTTTAAATCTGAGTTTCTGACATTCAGGTTTCCCGTTTGAAATATATCTTCAAATATTCTGTGTACATAACAACATCTTCCTGAACCTCCCCACCGTCTCAGGCTGAGATCATAAAACTTTGAGTACTTCCCAGATCCTCATTTTGTCCTGCTCATTCCTTTTTTTATTATTTTTTTTCATTAGTAACTGACACAGAGCAGCTCTTTTTCTCCCAGAGAAATCAAGGATTGTGAAGACAAGAATGTCCTCACTGAAGAGATTGGAGAATGCTAACTTGTCACTGTCTCCCAAGTTTCTTTTCCACTTCTCATGAAGGATTCTTTTGGATACTTCTTGCTCATTGTCTCTTGTGGCAGTCTCTCTTTGTTTGGAAACCCTTATTGTCAGAAAGGTCAAGGTAAGCAGACACTCTGGTTTTGATCTCAGCTCATTTGGTGGTTCTTTCCTTCACTGATTCCTTCATCATTTAAAACACTCGATAATCACTTGTTGGAATTCCACTGTTCACAGAGTTGACACTCACTGAAAGCTTGAGAGCATCAAAATCAATTCTGGGATATTAATCAGTAGGTAGAGAAGACGCTGCATTTTTCCAAGGTAAATAGCCCTACTTCTTTCCCCAAGATGGTCTAATTTTAAACTCTATTCCAATTCTCACTTTCCTCTAGAAAAGCCTTTTATGTCCATATCCCTCTTAAAATGTACATCCAAATATGAGTGGGCCTTTTCACATTTAAAGAATAGTAAAAGTGTTTCCTCCCACATTTAACACATGTCTTTTCTTAATATAAAAACCTTAAAATAAAAGTGGACTTTTTTCCCTGGTGTATTTCAGTGTTGCCCTTCTTCAGCGTGTGCTGCCTGAACCATTTGAAGTCAAGATGTAACACAATCAGGTCAGAAATTCTCCAATTTGTGTTTACATAAGTGTATCAACAAGCATTAGTTTTAAGATTGCTTTGCATATTTTCCCATTTTTTTATACAGTATGTTTTCTTGTCGAAAGATTATTATTGTTACCCATATAAAGAGTGCTTAAAATAATGTGAACAAGAAAAAATTGTCATATACTAATAAACAAAGTATATGAATAAATCAGAAAAATAAATGAAATGTGCAATAAACACAAATTCTGCTCTTGGTTATAATAAAAACATAAACTGAAACTTCAATAGTGAAACGTTTTAGCTAATCAAACAGTTGGTCATTTCATTTTCCAGTTTTGCCTCAGTATTAATTGTAAGGATATCAAGTGCATGAAATCCATGCTTACACTTACTGTATAAATAATTATGGTCCTGCAAGAGCCAGTGGGAAAACACACAGGAAGAGCCAAGCATTAATACACTTTCCTAGATCATGTCTTTAGGAATTGAACAAGAAATGGCATTAATTATAAATGTGCAACACCTTTTAGTGTTTTGATTATAATAAAGTTTGGAAGTAGTTACATATCCCACAATAGGAAAGAGTTAATGAGTGATGATGAAATTCAGGAAATATTAAATCTACACCACCATTTACAGATATTTAACAACGTGAAGGAAGTCTCAGGAGAATAAAAGAAACCTTTAAATTGTGGGTCAACTGTATTTTATGAGTTCAAGGGCATCTATTTGTTTATGTCTATTGTTGTCTGTCCTCGGTGTGTAGAATAGTGCCAGACACTAGTGGGCAAGCTCTGTATACATGCTAATCCAGGGAATGAATATGCAGCGTGTTTGCACCTACAAGCACTCTTGCACACAATGTGAAAGCACACACTGTTAGTTCACCAGAATGTTCCCACTCAGGTGCTCATCAGTGTAATTTTTACTTTTATTAACATCAGTAAGTTCCTATTTTCTATATTTCATAACTAAGCTATGCGAAGTTTACAGAACCAATAGCCTTGCTCTCTTAACAATCTCCACTTGAAGACTGGAGATATGGCTCAGTGGTTAAGGTCACATACTGCTCTTACTAAGGACATGAATTCAATTCCAAGCACCTATATTGAGGGTCTCACCCTTACTTATCTCTGGCTCTAGAGGGATCCAGTGCTTTTTCTTGGCTTTTGCAGGCACATGCGCTAAAGTACACACACACACACACACACACACACACACACACACACACACACACACACACACACACGCACACACGCACACACGCACAATTAAAAAATAGCAAACTGAATTTTTAAAATAATTTCAACCTGAGGAAATGTTTTTCACTTGGTCTCATGTAGTTAAATTCTGCAGCTGCTTTTGATGAATTTGGTGAACTTCTATGTTAATTCAACAGTTTCTAAATAAGATAATTCTTTGCCAGTGCTAGACCATTCTTTTTAACTTGATCACACTTTTCAAAAATAATTTGATTTAAAACTTCTTTCACTTGTATTAGAAAGTGGGAATCAATCTGTATTCTCTTTAATATATGGTGATTTGCCATGAAATATAAACAATTGCTCCTGGGAAGCAAAAGTAATGTATGAAGATTTCATACTAACTTATGAGACAACTTGTGCCTGACGAACTTAGTGAAAATAAAGTTATTTCCTCTAAGATTTTAGTAATGCTCACACAATCACCTAATCTCTACATTTTCATGGCCACAGTACTTTAATATTTCAATAATTTCTAGGATTTTGTTTGTATAATGTTAAATGCAACATTTTCTTCTTTCTAGGATCTACATTTTGTAAGATGAGTAGTAAAACATCCGTTTTTCTTCAGAATATCACTGAAATGTCTCTCTCTCCCTGATGTCTTGGTCTCTTAAAATTTGCCAGGGATGGGTTTACTTTCACACCTGCATTGTTGAGTAAATTGCCTTCTCCAGGTAACTTCAGAGGTGCCCATCAGTTTGCTGAGATGATCTCCATCTATTTAAATAGTTTAAGTACAGTCACATGACAAGATGCTTTCTTACCATGCCTTTGTAATTTTCCCTTCTGAATTCAGTGTTTATTTTGCTCTTTTTATACATTTCAGTGATAATCCACAGAGAGGATAAGCCTCTTGTTCTTCCTGTCCTGTCAAACTGGCCACTGTACCCACATCCCTGGAGTGTATAGCTGGAACCCAGCTGCACTTTCTGTAGCACATTTTACGTGCCCATCATATCAGAAGAACGTGCTTTACTTTAATTTTCTATTCTGAAATGACTCCAAAATGACAGAAAGTTTGCAAAAATGGCACGTAACTAGCATTTCTCTGGACTCCTTATATGATAATCACTCTTACCTCTAACTCCTTTTCTTAAATTGCCGGAAGTAGGGTCAAATGCATTGCCCATTTCCATCTACCTGCTTCTGTATCTCCTCAGCAATTTTCCTGTGTATGACCAGTTGAATCAGAAAACTGGCATTAACACAGTAATTTATTAATGCAATAAAATAAACAGTAAATAATAATAAAACAAAACATGCAATTTTTTTTTCATTTTTTCCAATAATATCCTCAGAAGCACAATATTGTTTTCTGGTCCAGAATCACTGTCATACCTGGTTGCTATGTGACTTTTGTCTTCTTTATCCTGGAACAGCTTTCATTTGTTATTTTTTTTTCATGACTTTGTCATTTTCAAAGATACAGGATAAATACATTGGTAGCACTTCCCTCAACTTTTGGTTTATCTAATATTTCTTCAGAATTGGGCAATACGTTTTTAGCAGGAATTACCACCAATGTGATGCAGGTCCTCAGGAGGCACATGATGCCTGTTTATGCCATTACTGGTGAACTGACTTTGCTCACTTGGTGAAGGTGGCGTCTGTCAGCTTTCACCCATAATGTTAACATTTCCCCCTTCATAATTAATGAGACTCTGTGGTGAGATACTTTTAGATTTTAAGAATATACCATTTCATAAAATAGTCATACTCTGGTTTTAGTATCCAGTGATGTCTTATGCCAGAATCACATATTACATTAGTTATTGTAGCATAGTAGAATTTTAATTCTGTATTTTTCTCTATTCTGTAGTTAATACTTACATAATGGCAAATTTTTCCTCCTTAAAATAACTACGTATTTATTTTATAATGACCTTGTTAATTTTCACAGTAATTAACTTTAGTGAATTATAAGGTATTATCATTATTTATTTTGATATATAATTTCTCCTAGACCTAACTAATTAGAGACACATTCAGTCCTGTAAGTGTATGTGTGTGTGTGTGTGTGTGTGTGTGTGTGTGTGTGTGTGTGTGTGTGTGTTTCATACTCTCATTTGAGGGAATACAGGTGTGATTTATTTATCTTTGTCCATAGTTGGAGGTGTCCAACCTCATATTTTATAAACAGAGGCTTGAGTGTAGGTGAGGTTACTGCTACTAGAGTATCATCATTTCTAGGTTGCTTCAGTAAACACATCTAAGCATGTCCACAGAACTTTACCTGTCTCTTGTCTGTCTGCCTATTTATCATCTATCAGTCATTTACCTACCTTATATCAACCTACCCATCATCCGTCCATCCATCCATTCATCCATCCATCCATCCATCCATCCATCCATCATCATTTATCCATGAGCTAAAATCGGCACCTTCAGTTAAAACATCAGAATTCCTTTCAGATTTTTTTCTTTCCACAGTTGTAATTTGTTCTCTGACATTGGCTCATCCATTTGGTTTGACTGGGGTTTATTCCATAGATGTAATTATTGAGAACAGAGTGAAACACAGACTTTGGAGACAATTACTGGGAGTATGAATTTCTCACTTTCTTTTAATAGGTTGGTAACAAAGACTGTTGGGGTCCAGCCACTCTATAGTCTTCTCCCAGGGTTCCAGAAGAGATGCTACCAGAAGCAAGAATTAATCTGAGGGTTTCATGAGTAAATCTATGTACACGAAACTCTTTAGTCCATTCACTTTACTCTTCTGAGTAAGTTCTCTCTCTCGCCATGCTTCTTTTCTGCTCTTGAACTTCACTCCTTTCTTGCCCAATTTCTCTCTACAATTTTCTGCTGTTATCTCTGAGTTCTATCTTAATTCTCCCATCTTGTTTTTTCCCCGTCTTGTTCTTCCCCATCTAGCTCTTCTCCATCTTCCATCTCATTCCTCTGGTCCTCTCTTCTAATCTCCCCTTCCTCTCTCCCCAGTCTAGTTTAAATACACATACATTCTCTGACTCTGCTGCTTTCTAGTTGGGTGGGGCAAGTCTGCTTGGTGGCTAGGCAACCTGCGTCACAGCTAGATGTACCTGGTAAGTAAAAGCCCTTTAGTTCTGGGTTAATTGTTAAAGGGAGATCTAGAGTTAGAGATAACACTGGGAGGAAAGGAAGGTTAAGCTTAATTAGCACATGCTCCAGGCCTTCACTAACAGATAGTCTGTATGCTTATCTGTCTGCAGTCAGTTCTTAGAAAGTCTGGGAAATATTTCAGATAAGATACTTTCATCCAGAGAAGGTCCTGGCTGGATGTTGCTAATGACAATAATTACAGAAAGGCCTGAAATTATGAATCTGGCTGTGTGACTGCTTTTAGCACAGTTGGGAGATATATATCCAAATACTTTAATTGTGTAGGGAAAATTGTGTCCAATGAATGATCAAACACACTGTTATAGAAATGGAAAAGCTACTACAACACACGAGAAATTCACAGTAGGAAATGGCTAATATTCAAAAGCCAGTATCACCAAGACTCCTTAAGCCTTGGCTTTATCCTCTGGAAAGACTTTTGGCTTCTTCTAGGTATAGCTTTATCATAGTCAGCTGAATTCCTACTTCATATTCTGTGGCCTGCAGCATATTTGTATCCTCTCCTTTTATCATTGGGATTTAAAAGTAGCCACATACTGGGATTATCTTTTTTTTTTCAAAAAAGATTTATTTTATTTTATGCATATGAACATTTTGCTTGCATGTATGTACGTATACTGAGTGCATAACTGGTGTTTTTGA